GGATTCATTCAGCTCAAAAAAACTTCCAAGGCACAATGTGTCTACGAACAAAGTGTTACACCATGTGTTACGCGAATTAGGCAGTGTTGGATGTTGGTAATTTACTTATTTCTTCTCTGGAGCATTATTTTGCGTGCAAATTCTTCGCAAAATGGAGCACAAATTTGGAAACTTAGGCAGGCATGAAAACTCCTAAAACAGAGTCGAGTACACCTTCCTTCCACCTTTTATCCAATACATTTTCGGACGAAGACAAAGACCTCTTGCTAATCTAATCTAATGGTCTAACAAAGTTGTATGCTTTATTATCAGAGCTGGTGATAAGCGAAGTGACTCTATAGGTCAGTTTGATGTTGGTGCAGTGTTATTAGGTAGGTTTAGTGTCCTTGACTATCACTGCTAAGAAAATGTTTTATAAAGTGCTTTTTAATTTGCACCTGCTTTTCAGAAAGAAACGGAAAGTGATGGCGTGTTGATGTGGTCATGGATAGAGTCTTGTCTCTTGCAAGTAAATTGAGCTTGGGAAGTTACGATGGCGATACACAAAAGCTTTATAGTGTAACATGTGACATCCTATTTCTTCTGAATTGACATTTTCATCATCAATTTTCCGTTGACAGATGTTACTCAGTTTATCGATTTTCACGCGGGAGTTTCTGAAGTCTGAATATTTCCAATGGCATGATATAACAGATATAACGTGTGACGCTGAGCAAATTCTTTTTTCTTACACAGATGATCGACTGTCACGCGGGAGTAACTCAAGTTTGAGTAGCTGTAGTAGCATGACGTCAGAACAAAGGACAAGTTTTTTCATAGGTCAGGAGATAGCAGAAGACTCAGAATTAGCTTCTTCCTCATTTACCATGTAAGTTGATTAGTTCTCGATGATATTCGTTCCTTTGGTTCCACTTTGTTGTGTAATGAGAGTATTATACTGCTTCAAATGCTGATTTGATAATAGGAATCTGTTCTTTTTCCTCCTCAGTTGTAACGGCGCACGCGCAGCGTATCACTCTCCACCTCGTTCTCACGCAGATCATGAATTTCGTCACCAGTCCACCAGTCCACTTCCGGTTCCACGTCGGTCAAGAAAGAACTCAACTCCGTCTGATCAAGTATGGACAGGCGCTCTGATTATTGAACAATTTGCGAAATTTTTGTTTTAAGTTTTCTTTTTAGTATCCTACTGCTTATTCTATATTCCTACCCCTATATACCCTTGCCAGATTCAAGTGAGAATTTTATGTTGTATTACGACGACATCCTGTCTAGAAGAAGTTTTCACTTGCTGGACTTGACCACAGTATTACAGTTTAATCTATTAATCAATTGTCCTTTTTTCCCCTCTCTTCTTTTTCAGAAACCGTCCTCTACATGTGGAAGGTAATTTAAACTCATTCAACTTTCTATCTTTCTCTCGAGTTTTAAAACTGGAGTAAATTTCCTCACCCACCCCAAATAAATTATTACTTTTCTTTTTCAAGCTGGCAGTTGATATCAGGAACAGGGAGTCCGAACGGAACTACCACTGTACGAGATTCTCCAATATCCGCACTTGGACATGGCAGCAGCTCAACAAGCTTGTGAGTTTTGTTTGCATGTTTGTAGCCGCCCGAGCAACGGTTTTTTAGTTACAAGGTCATATTGTATTTGTCAAACCACTGTCAATAAGCTAGTGAACCAATCAGAACACAAAGAAATCATGCAGCTGGTGCTAAGGGTGGGAAGATGTGCAAACAGTCGTAATGGCGGAAAGTGTATAGCCGGTATAAATGATTGCGGGAAAAATGGTGTAACTTGGGAAAAGAGCGGGAAAGAATCTATGCTGTGATTGTTTGGAGTAGGGTCACGTGTTAACTGAATTCTCTGTGACTCAGAAATGTTTGTCATGCTAAACAGCCAGTCAGGGTGCTATGTAGCTCCCCTTTGCTAGTATTTCGTACACAATGCGTGACCCTTCCTCATTTTGTGTCTATTTACAGAGCTGAAAGCGTGGACGAGTGCTCTGAACGACAGGTGCGCTTAGGAGCCATCCGTAGCTTGTTTCATCAACTTTATTTCAAGGCTGTCGGCTACACGACGAAGTACGAAGCTGGCAATTCCTTCTCGAGTATTCTTGATCAAGTAACCGAGAAATTACGGGAAGGATGGGGTACCGTCGTTTAGCTTAGTCAATTCGAATTCAATTCACGATTCTTAAAAAGAAAATGAAAATTGTTTGAACACCCTTTAACAAAAAATTGCACCTGTTGTAGTACTCAAACCGAGTTTGCGCACTTCATGGTCCTCTGTCACTGTCCTATGCGCCCCTATCTCTAAATGCCCTAAATACCAAATTCCAATTCGATGCAGAAACAATGGACAAGATGAACCACCTAGTGGATTATCCATTGTTAAATTGCTATTTATTCATTCCCATTGAATGTCCTGACTTTCAGTTGTGCTGCGACTAAGTCCTTTCGTTGTGATGATTATCTTCAGAATGATATCCCTTTCGTCAAAGAAGAGAAAATTTGGAAATTACTTTCAATCTCGTTTTTATGGGTCAACTCTCTTCCTCCCTAGAAGGAAGGAAGAGAGAGGACCCTAGGAACGAGGTTAGTTTAATTTTAGTTCATCGGTAATAATGCAATGTTCGCGTCGTATTTTAAATTACTTCTACGGTAAACCGAGTTTTAAGAGTTGCGTTAGTCAGAAATTTAAGAAAATTAGCTTTCTTAAGGCGAGAGGTGTTGTCCAAATCAAGTGTAGTTTTTGTTTGCTGAACTCAGTTTCTTTTCACCTAACTTGAGAGAAAACATTCGACGACATTCTTTAAAACGAGTGAAATCACAGAACTAAACTGAATTTTACGTAGCTTATAAATGCAGTGAAAACAAATCAATACAAACATTGCAGACCAGAATAGACCTTCCAAAATTTCGACAACGATAAACTCTCTGCAATTTTTAACTTCAAGTGAATCAGTGCTTAGTCTCATATACCAACTGACCAGCCTCTTCTGGAAGGACTGTATAAACAATCTTCAGACAACTAGTACCGAGCGCAAAGCGCAAGGGATCTTTGGAGGAATTAACAACTATGTTTTTCCTTCTTTCTCTGCCGGCCGATAATTTTTTCAGGAGAGATGTCTGGGCAGGAATTGTTGCAAGACCACGTACATCATCTAACATGGAAGGAAATTATAAAGACAAAATTAGTATCTAATTGTTTTTGATAACGAATATTTTGTTATTCAGAAGAAGCAGCATTACTAGTTTCCCACTGCCAACTAGAAGAGTTGATCTGTTGATGAAGAAATTAAATCTTTTTGAAAATAGCATTACTTGTAATGCTAAATTGTTAACAGTCCTCCTATACTAACAAATTGTGGTGAAATACATTGAAAATTTCCTCTTCTCTGATAATATTCGCATCCTAATATATTCATAGGTAATAATACTTGTTTGAAAGGTGAAATTCTTGATAATCTCTGAGAGTATTTTAAAGTCACTTCACACCTAATATCAAATTAAAGAGTGTTCTCAATATTTGTTTCAGAATGTGTCAAATATCGTTTGGTTGGTTGTTATTTGAATATGTTTTGAAGGTTTCTTAGAGATTTTAATTTCAATATCTCATTAGTAATTCTCCTTACGGTCTACCACACAATTATTTTGAAGTTTCAGACTTCCGCCACATGACACCGGTAGAGAAAGTACCTTCAGGAATAGGCAATTTATTGTTAACAACTGAGTTGAAAACGTAAATTGACCACCATAAAGAGTTTAAAGGCTGACGTTTCGAGCGTTAGCCCCTCGTCAGTGCGATAGACGAAGGGCAAACGCTCGAAACGTCAGCCTTTAAACTCTTTGCAGTGATCAATTTACGTCTTAAACTCAGTTGTTAACACTAAATTACTTGTTACACTCTCCTACCGACGCAGCACCACAGTTTCTTTAGAAACTTACCCCCTTTATTCATTTATCGTCAGCTTGAACAAATGGTAAAGCTTAATTTGCTTGAAAACAAGCACTTAGGTGTGAAATAAGCCTAAGTATTAAAGACAAGAAAGTGAAGCACCTGCCCGTCATCTTGAGTTAGTTTGTAACATTGCGCGAAGTCGATTAGCACTAATAGTGTGACGTCACATTCTAGCAAAGTTCAGGTTTCGTCCGTCCATACGTACGCGCGAAAACAGCGTTGTCAAAATGTTCCACTCTTGAGAGCTTTTTCAAAAGTTCCGTTTTCAGTGATCGTTTTCATGGGATGCGTGTGGACAGAAACCGTATCCGTGACGAAAAAGTTGCGTTTTCAAATGAAAACGGGTACGTGTTAGCCTAAGTGTAGTAGGTCCCTCTCCCCCTCTCCCTCCTTGAAGGTGAAACGATGGCGAGGGAACATCGAGTGGTGACTACACAGAAAGCACGCATTCGTCACGTAAACAGAAAACTAGATGTTATGTCAAAAGGATTGAACTCTGAGAATAATGTTTGTATCTTGTCTGCGCATGGGTTTCGTGATTAAAGTTGTTGTTCCAACCTGACTTTGAGGAGAAGACTGCGTAAGGAACGTGGATAGGCAAGAAGTCCTTTCATCAACCACACCTTCACATGAACGTCTACGTAATCAACTTTGCTATGGCCTCTCTGAAGCGCAAAACCTTTCACCCAGCCTTTAATCAAGAAAAACAGAGACAAATATCAATAATAAAGTGTAAGTGTAATTGAAATAACATATCTGACATCTGGAACGAGGTTAGCCGAGGACAGCAAGTAAATCTGAACTGCGTTGTATCATTTTTATGAATCTGAATTACTAATCACGGCCGGGCGGGCGTTTACCAAACTTTTTCGCCCGCGGCTGGGAGAGGGTAGGGGAATTTGTGGTGCTGGAGGTCGGGGGACCGGGATTTAAATTGACTCATGTGACAAGCATGTGACGGAAGGGCGCTCGACTTGAGAGTCAGTCGTGCTCCTGCTTATTAGTTCCTGATGTGTATTATTTACTGCAGTTTGAGATAGTACCCTCATAGTTCTTCGCCCTAATTAAAGCATTGCTGATTTTTGCTCAAGGTTTTCAGAATATTTTGAAAAGGTAAGCTTGATTTACTTGTGATCATTGACATGACGTTACATGCTGGCAATTTGCTCAAAGCGGAAAAAAACCAAAACAACATTCCAGAACTCTAAGACCGAAGCAAGATTCTTAAATGAAAAAGCTGGTCATTGTTTCAAGATGTAACAGTGTAAGATCACAGACCCGCTAACGGGTGAGATTTTCACCGCGATGTCTTTTTGTGGTGAAGTTCTTCAGAACAATGTGATTGCGATGGGAAAACGCAATTTCAGTTCATTACCTACTCAGTTAATTGATACAAGAGAAAACAAAAGCGTAAACATTAGATTACAATTTGGAGTGATACACTCCAGTTTGGAATTTTATATTCGGGAAACTTACGAAAACGCTGCGGGGTTTAAGAATCTTCTGTCAATTTATAGCATCGAAATAAACTCGTCCGCTCGCTAATATCATCATCATGTCATTTCCGTAGTACCCAATACTTCATACATGCGATTTGTTGAAAAACAGTAAAACAGTGGCGGAAACAATAGATTACCTCTGAGATTAAGGCTTTCTTTTGTTTTAGCCTTCAGAACAGGTGTAGTTTTTTTGTTTTTTTAGGCGGACGAAAGCAAGCGCGAGGCTAGCACGAATCCCTTGCGAAATGGATTTTGGAATTCCTAGGAATTTTTTCCTAGGAATAAAGGTGTGAATTTTCACGGTAAATTCGGACTGGGAATTCCTAGGAATTACCAACCATAACAACTCTGGTTCTAAAAACCTAGAAATTCCCAGAAATTCTAAATTTATAGCCAACAGGACCTGAAATTCCTAGGAATTCCTAGGAATTCCAACTCAGTGAACCAATAACTTTCCGTGAAAAGCTGTAAATCTAAAAAATTCCTTGGAATTTCCGGGAATTTTCAGGAATTTTTAGGAATGTTTAAGAATTACTGGGAATTTTAAGCAAAAATTTGAGGCTAATGATATAAAATAAATACTTTAAATTAAAAAAACCCAGCTAAAATTCAAGTATTCAATGAAATTTATTAAGAAGCTTAATTAAGGCTTACATGTAAAATATTTTTGATTAATTATTAACATCAACATGTGATAATATTAGGATGGAATTTGATTTATTTTTCTTTTCTTGAAAACTTCATACAGATTAATCCTCAATTACAGCTATTCATGTAAAATAGTCCTAACCAATCATTAAATTTGGTTTGACACAAATTGTGAATAAAATCTGTTGATTCTTTTCCATAAAATACAATATCTTAAAATTATATTTGAAAACCAAGCACTCTTGGGAGTGAAGGGGTTAATTACAGATAAATAAAATTGATTTTTTAATTAAAAGCTTCTTGTAACTGTAACAATAAATTAGAATGAAGTTATCCTAAACTGCAAACTTAGCTGCTGTTTGTATTTTTTTCCCTGGGCTCACAATGAGTTGGCCTTGAATGAGGTTGTCTACAAGAAGCTTGACCATTTTGTATCTGGAGTCCATGACATCTGAATTTGAAAAAAAATGATATATATATATATATATATATATATATATATATATATATATATATATATATATATATATATTTATATATATATATATATATATATATTTAGTCAGACCAGGCCTTTAAGATGGCTATAAGGAAAAGGGCATTCATTGGATTCTCAAATTGAGAAATCTCTGTTATATTGAGTGACTTTTATATTGGAGTTAGTACATCTCTCCCATACATTTTACTAAAAAAGGGCTGAATACGTTATTTTGTTTTTACCAAGGAGGGCTTCTTTACGTAATAAGGTTTGTTTAATAACAGTTCCTATTATGAATCTTGAATGTTCCCAAACGTGACTAAAGGAATCTTGAAACCTTACTGATAGGTTTATTTCATTGTAAAGCATAAGCTTAAGAAACTGCGGTATGCAAGTGACGGATTCGATTCTCAGAATTATTCTAGTTTCAGCTGCGCCGAGCGTTATGTAAGCTTAATTCAACCCGTTACATCTATTCTTTTATAAGATTTTGATCACGTAACGAATATCGCAATTTTTACTCACCACAAACTTTCAAAATCTTAGCTTTACAGATGGCCACTCGACCCTTGTTTGTACCAGTCAATGTCAACTGTTGCCCTTCTTTTAACTCCACGGCGCCAACGACTTTCTTTTCTTTTACAATACTCACGCTGTTCTCATTTTCCCATTGAACCACAATAAAAGCTATCTTTAGAAATGTTATATTAAGCAAAACAGTCGAGAAAAACGATCAACCGATGAAAAGTAAATTCAAAGATGAGCGCTAAATGGAGTCTTCTTTGTTTCCGATCACGGGCATGATCACGTGGATCTTTTAGGACTTGTCATTGGCTAGCAAAGTGAATCCGCTGGCTTGCCGATTGCAGTGTTAAGAGAAGCACACAACTTTATTCTGACTTCTCCGACCGGTTCTCTACTTCTAGAAGATGGATAGCTTGGTGATATAGATAATGATGTGAGCTCACTCTTTGTAGAAATAATCGAAAAGAATCGATCGTAATACAAATGCACGATTTGTGGCCGAAAGTTGTCGAGGAAACAAAGACTCGAAACTCACTTGAGTTGTGTTCATGGCAAAGGTGAGAAATAACACAAGCCAACCACAGTTTTGAATGCGACTACAAATCGTCTTTTACCCTCATATTTATAAAAGAAGGATACCACATTAGGAAGTATAAGAGATACATAGATGATCCCAGTGTACCAGTACCTAAATCTACAAAGCTTGACCGTAGCAAGCGTTCAGCAACACTTTCCAACACCGCCATCTCTATTTCTCAGTCAGTCGTTTCCACTGAACTTAAAGCAGTGGTGACAACAGAGTAGAGTGCGTCTTACAAAGGAGAAACATTTGTACAAGAGACAGAAGTAACTATATGCGATTACAGTGGTGCGTTGGAACTCTGGTCCACAAACAGCTATACATTGTCCGAAGTATAAAACAATTTTGTTGATAGCTGACAGACAGAGAAGAACAACAAGTAAACTTAAGAGCTGTTATTATGGAAGTGTGACTTGCACATTTCATTTGTATATAAAGAAGGACATGTATTTTGCACCAAAAATAAAAAGATGTAATATTTTTTGGGAGATCCAGTGATTGGGACATTTAAGAAATTAAGTTATGAAAGGAAACTTGGTTTGTACAGGGCGTGAAATTAACTTTTTTTCCTGTTAGCCACTTGGCTCCTAAATTCTTCAAAGTGGTAGCCAATTAAAAAAAAGTTGGTCGCCATTTTCAAAGACAAACAAAATCTTTCTTTACGCTGTCAGTGTCCTAGATAGACCCTCCAAAATTAAGTTAGGGAAAAGATTTTTGACGTGCTACAAAGTGGACACTAGGATGTATTATATACAACCTTCAGGCTCATCTAAATCCAAGATGGCGTCTAGTTATCGATCGAGATGCATGTGCTAAGTTTTTGAAACAAACTAAACGAGGAAGTTTGCCGCAGATTTGTCTTTGCAAATTTATTTAATTCACTGTATCTCTTGGTAAGGTTATGATGAAACGTTGTAGTCGCCAATTTGGCGACTAACTTTCAGGATTTGGTCGCCAAAGTGAAAAATTTAGTCGCATTGGCGCCTGTATTAGGCGCAATTTCACACCCTGTTGTACTTCTCACTACCAACAAGTCTTGTTGACAAATATTTTCAGATCAGAGTTTCAAATAAAGGAAATTGAAGATGTCATTTAAAAGGTGTTTTTTTCTCAAAGGGAACACTGACTACCTCTGTCTTGTCTGCATGCCAAATGTTTGCAAAGTGTGTAGATGAAGTATTGGAACTCTTACAGAAATGCCTTGTAAGAATGAAAACAGCAAAACAAATTACAGCAATTAGTCACAAAAACAGAGCAAAAAACTGAAAAAAAAAACAGTAACAACAATCATGAAAAAAGAAAGATTAATTAGGTGTTGAATTTGTTTGTCTAAGGCATGAAATTTCCACTTAAAATAATGTCAACAAAAAGTCTCTGACAGTGTTTGAGGCAACTGAGCTTGACTGTTCCAAGGTTTTCTAACAAAGGCAACCAGTAATGTAGGTTATGGAAGTAAGTTATGTTCATAACTAACAAAGTTCTTTAAGTTTAGATAACAATGTAATTATTGTTAATTATTGTGGAAGTTGTGTACCAAGGAACAGCTAATGAATGTTTGATGATTTTGGCACATCAGTGAACATGAGACATTAATTTGCATCACAATAAAAATATTTTAAGATTATGGAATCCAAGAGTCCTTTGAGGTTAGAAAGCAAATCTGTGATATGAGTACATTGGATTAATTGGCAATTTCCATTTAACATAATTGACTGCTGGTTCATGAGAAAATCCATATTAATGTAGAGATTTACTAAAACTTAGTTTGAATAATAAATTTCATGATCTTTAAGTTATAAGCATATACATGTATGTATATCTCTTGGTAAGTTTTGTATAGCATACCTTTTATTGAGCCAAAGTTTTAAGCCTCTGAAATTACTCCTTTTCTTAAAACCTTCACATTCAAGATATTGAGAATTTCTTAGAATTTATGTGGACCTCAGGGTATTTAAATTGCCTCAAATTCAATTCCCAGAAATTCCCAAGAATTCCACTCTTCTTAAATTATAGGTAGTTTGTATAGCTGAGAATTCCTAGACTGGAGTCTTCCTTTCCCAGAAATTCCCAGTAATTCCAAGCTTTTTAAATCAGAGCTAATTTGCATAGTTGGGAATTTTTCGGAATTCCCAGAAAACTGGGAATTCAGTTTGCAAGGGTCATTTGCATAATTGGGAATTTTTGAGAATACCTAGGAATTCCCAGAAAACTGGGAATTCAGTTCGTAAGGGATACATGTCACGCACGAGGAGGGGAGCGCAATAACAAAACATTTTGTTTGGCAAGGGGGGTGGGGTGGGGGTTTGAGGGATTTTTTTTTTTTTTCTATGAATGTGAATTTTTCTCCTAAAAGTACTGCAGAAGTGTTTTAAATACTTGGAAAGAAATGGAAGAATGAGAATTTATCAGTTGACACTTAAGTGACTGATCTTAAATCACTTTAATAATGTAAGATTTTAGTAGTAGATAGCTGAGCAAGCACTGGTTTCTGTAAGACTTCTGTAACATGCAAAAGGTTTCTAAATGACCCTGACTGTCATGCACAACCTACAATAAGTTTTCTCCACTTGCACAATCTTCCAGAAAACATTTTGTTTGAACTTTTTTTTGGAATAGGTATCTTATTTCACCAATGAAATTTTGAATATGGCCACTGCATGGCAATACACTGCAGAGCAACTGAACTACTACAGGATATCTTATGTTGTCACAGACATACTTACCGAGGGTTTGCGAACAATCTTCAAGCAGGAATGGGACAAACGCTACAAGACAACTTTAGGAGAATGGAAAGATCAACCTAAAAATGGAATGGACTTTTGGAATAGGGAGTCCTCTCGAAACAGAAGTAAAAATGCCCATCTGTTGACAACCATGAAGAATGGCAATAGAGCTGAATGGGATTGTTCCATGCTATTTTATGCTATCCTGTATTCAGATTGCATTCAAAGTCTCAATCCAACAGTGCAAAAAAATGTGGATGACCTCAGGAAATTTCGAAATGAAGAATTTGCACATGTACCACAAGGCCATCTTTCTAGCATTAAATTTAAGAATGATATTCTCAAAGTCCACAATGCATTTCACAATCTTGGTCTTGCCACAGCAAGAATCAAAGAAATACAAAATCAAAGAAGTTTTCCAACAGAGGAGTTAGGAGAGGTCTTACGGAAGGTACATGACCTTAAACAAGAAGTTTATGAGAAGGAAAACAAACTTCAAGAAAAGGTAATGGAACTTCAAGAAAAGGTAATGGAACTTCAAGAAACGGAAGGGCAACGACAGGTTTTGGAGGAACAACTATACACTGAGGTCTCTCCATTCTGCATTCTTCCTTCCCCACCTTCTCATGACGTTGCACCCTGCACTCGTCAGGTTGCTGAAATAAGACGACAACTCAAAGCACTCAAAGGGGCTAATGAAAACTGTTTAAGCATCCTGTATATATCTGGAAATCCAGGAAGTGGGAAATCTCAGTTGTCTCGTTTGGTAGCCAAGCGCTTCTTTGATGAAGACTCAAATTCTACCTGTTCATTTGTAATGACACTAAATGCCGAAAACACAGGAGCTCTTTTGGAATCATATGTCTCTTTTGCACGGTATTGTAAATGTCCTGAGTATGCTATTACAAACACTCTCAAATCCAGAGAGATGAACACAGATGAGAAAATTACCAGTCTCAAGACCTTAATAAGCACCAAAATTGAGCTTTACACTTCCTGGTTGCTGGTAGTTGACAATGTCACTGATGCATCCGGTATCCATAGTTATTTACCAGATGCTGGGAACAAGCAGTGGGCAAGGGGCCAGATGATAATAACAACACAAGACACCATGACAATCCCATTGACAAGCTCTCGCATACAACATATCTCAGCCAGCAAAGGTATGGATCTTGAGGATGCCAGATTTCTGTTGAAACACCTTTCTGGTGTCACAGATAGTGAGATGGAAGAAGAAGTTGCACAGGTATTAGACTACCAACCTCTTGCCATGGCAAGTGCTGCTACATATGTTAGAGAAGTTGGACAGCACAGGATGGCTTCCAAGTTTGGTTGGATTGACTATTTGAAGAAATTGGATGAAGGAAAACGAAGAAGTACAGAGAACATACTGGCAGAAACTAACTCAACTTACCCAAAATCCATGACAGCAGCGATAACACTTGCCGTAGAGAAGGCAATGACATCTAACAAGGTTATTCATCACACATTCTCTTTGCTCTCTCTCTGTGCATCACAACCAATACTTCAAGACATTGTCACCTGCTACATTTTGGAAACAGATAAAGAGTTTGATGATAAAGAAATGGTTGGTGCAAAACTCCGCCGATGCCCATTGTTGTTATTTACAGAAGAGGATGGCTGTATCTACATTCGTGTTCATAGAGTTGTCCAGGAAGTCATCAATACTGTCATAAAATGCTACACAAACGATGAACACCTTAAAGTCATCCATGGGGCCATTGCATCATTTTCACATGCATCCAAGATTGAGAAGGACTTAGATCCTGTGTTTCTCTGCAAGAACATGGTCCCCCATGTAACAAATCTGATTAATGAGACATGTCCATTGTTTTCTGAGCAAGGAATCTCAGAAGTCGCTAAAAGTGGCATAGTAACAGTTCAAGACTTCACTGAAAACTTTCTAACACTTGGAGAAATGTGTATTGAACACTGTGAATTAAACACAGCATTGAAGTGTTGTAATGTAGTCTTAGACTTTGTCAACTTGGGTGTGGTAGCTTGCAACAAAGCAGAGGCAGCAGCCTACAGTGGCTTGGGTAGAGTGCATTGTGACTTAGGTAAATTGGAGCAGGCAAAGGATTACTTTTCACATGCATTAGACATCTATTTGAAAACTTTCAGGCCAGACCATGTTTATGTTGCCTCTTCTTACAATAATCTTGGTATGGTGTGCAATAAGCTTGGTGACCTTCAGCAGGCAAAAGACTACTACCAACATGCAATGGACATTCAAATGAAAACCCTGGGCCCTGATCATGATGACATTGCAACTTCTTACCACAACCTAGGTATTCTGCATCGTGACCTTGGCGATCTGAAGCAGGCAAAAGTCTTTTTGAAGCATTCATGGTTGTTACGTATCAAAATGCTTGGAGATGAGCATGTAGAAGTTGCATCTACTTACAATGAACTGGGTCTTGTGTACAGGGATCTGGGTAAACTAAAGAAGGCAAGGTGCTATTATGAAAATGCACTCAATATATACTTGAAAAAGCTTAGGCCAGACCATGTCGATGTAGCATCCACTTACAATAACCTAGGTGATGTGGAGGGTGCAATGGGTAACTTTGAGCTAGCAAATGACTACTACGCCCATGCAAAGGACATTTGCTCGAAGAAATTCGGACCCGAGCATGATTATGTCAAAATGATTCAGAAAAACTTAGCTGAGTTACAACATAGAATGGAGAGAACTCAATGCTGCCTGCCTTGTCTTTGAAAGAGGACAAGAGATTCACAGCCTTCTTATCAGTTCAACAAACTTAATAGGAAAAGGAAAGAAGAAAAAGATGGAAACTGTACTTTTCTTTAAGACACAAGAGTATCCAAAAAAAGGACTGTTGGTAGAAACAAATGAGGTTTGATAAACAGACACTTTCAAAAGCTTTTGCAGAAAGGAAAAGATGTGCAAGAGAAAAATGTATGTGAGGAAAAAAACAAATTAACAAATACAGCAGCTGGCACAACAAGTAGCCACATAAATTTCTGCACTGACCCTTAACTCATTTGGAAATAGTCTTTGAGGTTAGAACCTCCAACCCCACTTCCCCTTCTGTCTTTCTGTCAAGACCTTCCCCCCCCCACACCACCCAATTTTTGGAATAAGTTTTTTGTAGGATGCATGCACATGGGTAATGTTGAATTTTTTCCATTGATCAACACAAGGATGCTTCTTTTGGCATTTAGTTACTGTGATTCTCCTTACTTTGTGCCATACAAGTCTCATGGTATTAGTTTGGAGAATTTGGTATTGGATCAGTTGATAATCCCTTTACTGATATTTTTTCTTTATTCTCATTAATTGACTGTTTGATATTGTATCAACATAGTAAGAAGAAATGCTGTCTTCGTCAGTAGTTTTGTAGTTGTGAAACTTTGATCCACTGAGTCATCAAAGAGTTATTGTAAAAAAAAAAAAAAAAACACCAAATTAGACCTTACTAAATCACGTTTGGAATAACTGAATTCAACCTGTCTATGAAAAAGGCAACATTTACAAAAATCAGAGGATTGCAACATGGTACAATGATACCAAACAAACTGTTATCATTTAATATTTTTACTATCTTTGAAGAAAACACTTTCTAGACTAGTCAAGCAATGTTCCACAGCAACTTTCTTTGGAGCACATTTTGAGAAAAACAAATATTAATTTGCCCAAAGTAATCAAGCTTCATTATGACTGGCAAGGTTGTGATTTAATTATCGACAACAACAACCAAAAAAAAAAAAAAAAAAAAAAAAAAAACAGAAAACAATCATACAGTGCATTCACAGTAAAGCACATAAATTAGTTGACTCTTTCCCTAAGGTGTTAATACAATTTACACTTTCTTTCAACAGTTGCAAGGTAAACCCTTCAACATTTCTCTGCCTCATTGCTATGGATCACATTGTCTGTTCTTTTTAAAAACCCAGCCCACAACTCTTGACAGACAAATGCAACTCTTCACAAAAATGATTGGTTATGTGTATTTTTTTTTTTTTTAAAGTTCATACAGAAAATAGCGGTTGGACTCTCTAATAAACCCTTTCACTCCAAGATCTGACTGTTAATTCTCTCCTCTAGCTGCTACACTTTACCTTGTAAATTAGTCATGGGAATTTGGTGTTAGATCAAGATAACAACTTCTACTTAATAAGTTTGAGTCTTCTCATTACCTGTTTGCAGGATAAAGTATGTGTAAAAATAGGGAGAAATTACATGTTAATCACATCTGGAAGTTGAAAGGTAACTACGGGTACGTCATATTATAGGATTTAAAACACGTTGATGGCTTTAAGCACTCACTATAGTTTATTAATAGAAAAAGGGCATCATGTAGTTTCTTTAAGTTCTATAAATTTGATTGCAAATGGCCACTCTGATCCCATTCATTCTGCCAAATGCACCAAGGCTTTGTCCTCTTTACAAGGAATCTGAATGAATCAACAATTACTTCAACCACGTGACTTTGAGTGTTGGATTAACCACTGCAGAGTGATATCTGTGATTCAGAAACAGAAATATAAGTTAAATGTAAATCAAAACTATGACAAAATTCTCAAGCCTGATTGGTCGTCATCAGCCCAATTTGAGCACTAATAGGGCAATGCATGCATCATGCTTGTGACTGGACAGTGTGATAGGACAGTTGACATGTCATAGCTGTTTAAGTGGACAGTATGGGTCATGAGTGCCTGCTGTTGTCACATATTTTGCCAAGTGAACTGTTATTTTGTTGTGAAAACTTAACTATTGCTTAGTTTCTTTCTCAAATTTTGTCATAGTTTTGATTAATTGGTAACAGGACTTTGGGTAGTCCAATTTTGTCTGTAATCATATGGGTGATTAACAAATGGAACTCCTGCTTTGAGGTCATCCAATTCTGTTAATCACTCATAATTACAGACCAAATTGAACTCCACTCAGTTCTACTACCATTGTTCATAGAGGATGCAAAAAGGAAAAGTTCATAAAGTTGAAACTACATTACTGATTACTTACCAATGTTCTCTTTCTCTTTACATGAAATGGAGTAGCAACAGATTTCTCGATCTTGAATTGATGCCAAGTTACTGTCAGAAAGTAAATTTAGAGACATAGGAATTAAATCATGTACAATACAAATGGCTCTTGGTAAAGGTGCACCACATTAATTTAAGTTACTTGTTGATGGGCAGCAATCGAAGCTACCTTCAACTTGAGGAATAAAAAATTGTTGTTGGGCAAGACAAAAAATATGAAAGAGACAAGGATGGTTAATAACAATTAAAACTGACAAACAAGGAAAATGAACTTCTTTAAAAAAAAGACATTTCAAAGATGCAAATACACTACCATATATCTCTTTTGAAGGATGGGGGGAAGGGGTTACATTTTAACCCTTTAACTCCCATGAGTGACCAAAAGATAATATCTCCTTACAATATCAATATGATATAAAGCAGACAAATGATGAGAATCACAAAAAACATAAATTTTTGGGATAATTAGGTGAAAACCAAATTCTCCAAACTAACACAATAAGAAATTTTATGGCAGAACATAGAGAGAATTACTAAAGAGATCGTAGGAGATGAGTAGCACAATCACCATACCCACTTCTGTAACATGTATGGAAAATGTGAAAATTGCTAGTTTGGGACAAAATCACTTCTTTAGGTTTGTTTTAAACTTACATCTACTATTACAAGTGATTTATTTCAAACTATTTTATTTTTGTCACATTTGATTCAAATTTGTATTTACCCATAATCCCTTGTGGGTGTGGTCTTTTTCACAAATAATCAATTTCGAGTTCACTGACACAGTAAAAAGTACAAATAATAACATTTTGCATTACATGGAGGCTAGTACTCCTCAGTGAGATCAACTGGCACTCTAAAAACTGACTCTTTTCGACACGGAGATGAAAAGATGAAGGCGAAAATGGCGGAGCAAACAGCAGATTTCACAGCGCTTTTGGTGGCATTTGTGGCGAGGCTCCGTTCTCAATAAAAAAAAAAAAGCGTAGAAGCGTAAAAAGCGTAGCGACTTGGTAAATATTTTGGCCGTTTCTGAAGATATGGACCCGAAAACTTGGAAATGACAAGAGAAACTTATGAGCATTGAAGTGCAATCGATTTCGAAACCTGACTTTGCCGTGTTTGAAGTATAGTGCTGAAGGAGAAGGTAAGTTGATTAAAAATATTATTGCGTAATCAGGTTTTAGAAAACCGTAGCGACTGTTTTACACTAATATTTCTCCGTTTATAGTCAATCCTTTAGACTGATTTTTCGCTATTTTAGAACACCAAGTATGAGCATTTGGTTGATGTGTTTTTGTTCCCACAGGATTCCAGTTCAGTCAATCTACGGACAACAACTTGGTGTACTTCCAAATTCTGAAACGCAGCGTTACACAAAGGATACTTAGGAATGATGAATCTTTTCTATGCGTTTTAATAAACTTGAAATGTCAAAGTTTTGCTCAAATGTAGTGTTTATTGTGTGTTATCATTAGGTGTAATTTGTTTGCTCAAACGAGCTTTCTTTTCACTGAAAAATGTATTTCAAAAATTTTACCACTGAGATTGTGTTACGCGTTACAACCAAAATTGGCTCGATTTTTCATCTTTCACGGGTATTTTCTCGAAGACAGTAATGTGGTTTTCTGATTTTTTGCTTTTACAATAATCAATAAGAACAACTTTACCTGTAGGCAAAGATTTGGCTTCAATGAAAATGTAAAACAGAAGAAATCATTGAAAGTTTGCAGTCAACCCCCTATGGGCATGGTGATTGTGCTACTCATCAGGAGTGAAAGGGTTAAGAGTCCCTTTCTGACATTTTCTACTTACAGTCTCTCCACTAGTTCTTTTTCATCTAGCGCATTGGGAAGATCCTTTTTATTTCCCAAAACTAAGACCTGAAAAAGTAGTAAGAAACAATATGATATAAATTTTACAAGCCAGTAACCATGTTACATTAAATACATAAAATAGCTACTTCTCAGATAGAAGCAGTAGCAGTCGTTCTAAGGACTGAAAATCCTCACCAGCAGATAAATGGATATTCCACAGGCAAGTATCTTTGATAAAAACAAATCTGGACCATCCACCAGACACTCAGCTTTTCACTGAATACAGTCATCTACCTTGGATGGGATGTTAGTGTGTTGCAGGTTTATTTAAAACTATTTTATCAGTTTCAATAGGTCTATATCATAACTATTATACTCCTTGACACAGAGTACCAACCTACTTGTCATCATGCTACCCTATCTCTCACAAAAGAGAGTCTAAGGTATTACTTACTGGAATGCCTGCTAATTGTGGTTTTTCTAAAAGCCCATGGAGTTCATTTCTTGAAGCTTCTAGCTTTTCATGATCTGCAGCATCAACCATATACCTGAAGAAAAAACTCTGCATTAATTACTATAATTTCAATTAGTATTCATTTTGTTGCTGACACACATTAGGTGGAAAATTTAACAATTTACATCATGTTGCTGTTTCTACCATTTTTGGGCCCTGCATAACCAAAATAACATTTCATTTTACGATGACATTTCAGTAGATAAATGTAATTAAGCCATCAAGGGTCACTTCCCCTCCTGTTACCACAGTTTCCACTTAACTACAAATTTTGGGGTCTCTTGCATTGTTCTTGACAATCCTTTGTGTAAAAAGGCAGACCACACACAGAAATCTAGTCTAATCTACACTAGCATCTTCCCCTCTGTTGGGCTGCAAACTTTTTCTTGAAAATTAGTTAGCATAGTTTTTTCCATAAATCAACCTTAACAGACCATTTGAATGCAGCTTTACATCCTTAAGCTTCATCAATACCCACACAATGCAGTTCACTCCTCTACAGTATCGTTCCCACATGCTCCTAAAGCGAGGTTGCCCTCCAATATCCCAGACCTGTGGGAAAAAAAAAGCTAAAATGATCAACAATAACTTGGTTACATAAGATCTAGTTGCCAGGTGGGATGAACGCACCAGAAAATAAAAGTT